CCTTCTTCCATTGAAGTCTGTGGTAAAATCACTGAATTTAACCAATAGATGCCTTGACGCAAGTAATTCTGCATAAGTGGTAGTGCCGAAAGAAAAGTCAAGACCCATGGTGCTCTGAATTGGTTAGCACACTAACTATACTAACAGGATACCAAGAGGTTGCCCTCACCAAAATCAGATTCACAAGGGCAGCTCCTTGTGCCCACACAAATCTAGATGCAGGGGCTGAGGCACAAGTCATTTTCCATTAAAAAAAAAAAAAAGAAGCTATGATAGCTTGTCTCATGCAGGCCAGGGGCGGGCTAAAGTCATCCTCCAGCTTGAGTGGGGCATCGCATGCTTTGGCTTTCATCTGGCACTCCACGCCTTGTTGGGTGGGTGCCTCTTTCATGACTCAGGGCAGTCACATTTGGCACTTCCCACTTGGCTAGTTGTTCGCAAAATTCCAAATCAAATACAAAATAGCCCCTAACAAATACTGTCCCACCATGCCCTATTTCTCAATACCACATCTGGGCTTTTTTCTATTTCTCTCTCCTTCCAAAGTCTTAAAGCAAGGCTTCTCCCTAGGTTTCTCTTAATAACCAACCTTTCAAGAAAACGCTAAATTTTAAAAATATATCAAACTAAACATCTTCTGCCTGTCACAGGGCTTAAATTTTGAGTCCCAGAAATGCCTTCAAGCTCAGTTTACCTAGCAGAGCAGCTACCCACACTTCTGCCTTCCTGTCTCACCCTTATCCCCTTCCCCCATCAGATTCATCCCAACATCGCTTCTACCCTACTGAGAACACCAAATCTTTCTCTAACCAAGTGTTTTCAGCCTCTTTTCAAAGGAAAATGCAGGTGTGCTAGGTGACTCCATAACCTGACTCCAGGTTCAGCCCTGAAGTCTAATTGAGCTTGCAGGCTCTCACTAACCCTTTCTCTGCCAGAGTCTGTCATACGACTTCTCAGTTTTGAGGTTGATTTCTGAAAATATATAGTCTCTCAGTTTGGGCACCCAAAGACTTGAAGGCAGCTAGCCACCCTTGCAAACCACCCACTTATGCAAACTTGGGAAAATCTCAAGGGTTTACCAATTGCATACAGAGATTCATTTCATCTAGTACTAAACTGCAACCACTTCTTGGCTATAATGCAACAGCTGTGCAACAGTGCACAGCTGCACTATCCAGCAATTAAGCAAAGGAAGAGAGGAAGTTTCCTGTATCAGGTAATATTATGACAAAATGTCAGTGGGACTCCTCTGCCACTTTGGAGCTAATTCCCTTGTTCTTGTAGAAAGTACCTTGTGGCCTTTCATAATGAGTTGATTAGGACCCTGGTTTCATGGCTATCCCCATGCTGATGTCTCCAAAGATCCACTTTGGGTTCATCTCTTTCTAGCCAAACTAAAATCTTGGCCAGTCTCTCTGATATCTTCTAATGGAGGTCAGGCCATCAGCTCAAGCTCAGCATGGCTAAAGAAGAGCTCTGAGTCTTCTCCACTAAAACCACCTTCCCTTTCCCTTCTCTTTATCTCTCTTGAACCATCACCTGCACCACTGCCATTTAGACCTATAATCTAGGGGAATCTTTGACTTGGGTCTCTCTAAGTCCTCATATCCATGAAGACTGTCTAAACTCCTACAGAGTCTTTCTGTATCTCTAACAGCATCTCTGCATAGTAAACTTGCTGTGTCAGGCAACTGGGCCCTCAAGCACACTGCTGCTCTATGTGAGCTGCCACCTTCTAAATGGGAAACAATTAGCTATCTCTGCACAGCCTGATGGCCAAGATAATGAAAATTGCCTACCAGCCCTCCTAATTAGCCCACTGTTGTGTCCCTAGCACTCTATTACACTGTTTCCAGATCAGGAGGCAGCCAGCACAGAGTTGGTGTGTCTGAGAGTCCCACGTGGTGTTTGTCATCCTGACATAAGATATGGTTTTGCCTGGCTATGCGCACAGCTAAAACTCAAGTCCAGGTTCTTAGCATCGTATGTTTTGATTACAGCAACATCCTTACCTCTGGCTTTGATAAATGCGTGGCCAATTTATATCCATTCAGCATGCTGCTGCAAAAATTATTTTACTAGATTATTGCTTTGACCAGGACAGCTCCCTCTTTGAATCCCTTTTCTTTTTCTCCTTTCTCCATCGCATCCAAGAGAAAGCCTCTCTCGGCCTGCCCCTATCATATTTCTCATTTCTCATTGACCGTCAGAAGGCTGACTCCCACCTCTAATCGTACAGGATGACAAGCTCCGTTTTTCTCTTGCTATATTTTTAAGCAAGCTGTCCTTCACTCTTGAAGGACTTCCCCACGAACATCCACCAAGCTGCTTCCATGATGTTCTGTAAATCACACCTTAAAGTTCTCCTTTTCTGTAATGCCTAAAAAAGCCCAAAAAACAACTTGTCAACTGTTAAGCTGCTAGGGACTGCTACCACTTTCTCTCAACATGACCAACATTGTCTCCTTGTTTGTCTGTATCTATCTGCTGTCTCTTGTCTTACCTCGTAAGCTTTTTCACGTTGGGACTGACTTTTGTTCTGAGCTTGTACGGTGCCTATGAGTTCCACGAGTGGGGCTTTTTGGCAGATATTTATTATTATCATCATAGAACCAGTGGAAGGGAGGAATTATCACCAAGGAGGAGCACTCCTCCTCGGCCCAGGAGTGTAGGTAGGAGGGCTATTAGGAAGGCTAAGGTAGAGATGGAGCTCAGGCTAGTGTCTGGGATTAAGGACAACAAAAAGTCCTTTTTCAAGTACATTGGGAGCAAGAAGAGGGCACCAGGCAATGTAGGGCCCCTGCAAGACACAAACGGTAATCTTGTGGCCACGCCAGACAAGAAAGCTGATATTTTTAACAGTTTCTTTGCCTCTGTTTTCCTGAACATGGACCGGGACATCCCACCTACCAGAGGTAGGGACAATCTCGGGGATAGCTCTGTCAGGCCTTCAGTCAGCGCAGATGTAGTTAGGGATCTTCTGGAAGGGCTAGACATTTTTAAATCTGCAGGTCCAGATGCCCTCCACCCAAGGGTGTTGAGGGAGCTGGCAGGGGCCATCACGGAGCCCTTGGTCCGGCTGTATGAGCATTCGTGGTCATCTGGCCAGGTGCCGGGGCATTGGAAACTGGCTAATGTGGTCCCTATTTTTAAGAAGGGGAGGAAGGAGGACCCAAGTAATTATAGGCCTGTAAGCCTCACCTCGGTGCTTGGGAAGCTCTTGGAGATCGTCATCAATAAATTAAGCGACTGCAGCATTGATGCCTGCACAGTTGGATGGGTAAAAAATTGGCTGATGGGGTGCACCCAGAGAGTAGTGGTGGACGGGTTGTACTCAACCTGGTGATATGTGAGCAGTGGGGTCCCCCAGGGCTCGGTCCTTCGGCCTGCGCTGTTTAACATCTTCATCAGCGACTTGGACGAGGGGGTGGAAAGCACACTGTCCAAGTTTGCTGATGACACTAAGATGTGGGGCAAGGTGGACACACTTGAAGGGAGAGAGAGGCTGCAACTAGATTTAGACAGACTACAAAAGTGGGCAGACGAGAACAGGATGGGGTTCAACGTAGACAAATGCAGGGTGCTGCACCTTGGGAGAAGGAATCCACAGCACACATACAGGCTGGGTCGTTCCCTTCTTGAAAGCACAGAGGCAGAAAGGGATTTTGGAGTCATTATTGGCTCCAAGATGAACATGAGCCGCCAATGCCAGACCGCAGCCAGCAAGGCCAGCCATACTTGTCATGCATCCAAAGGTGCATCTCAAGCCGGTCCAGAGAGGTGATACTCCCCCTCTATACGACATTGGTCAGGCCGCAGTTGGAGTACTGCGTCCAGTTCTGGGTGCCGCACTTCAGGAGGGATGTGGCCAGCCTGGAGAGGGTTCAGAGGAGGGCCACCCGCTTGGTGAGAGGGCAGCAGGAC